TCCTGAATGGGGGTGCGGTGGGACCAACCCTAGTGTGCCTGCGATGACTTGGGTCAGGACAAAACATTTGAAGCCGGAAGAAGTAGCAGCCACAGGGGTTAAGTAAGCGAGGCCACCGGAGTCCCCAGCGAGACCTTGGGGAGCCAGAAGAGGCCGACGGGGCGCTCCCGCTCATCGTCCCGGGCTCATGGGGCCGCCCTCCTCCCACCGCCAGAGTGCGCTTTCCTCCGCAGATGCCAGCGGGGCTCGGAGCGGCCAGCGGAAGGCACCGTGCCTGCTGGCTGCCGGGGAGATTGGGGCCGGAGAGGCCACGCACAGGCCAGAGCTGCCCGAGGCCGACCCTTCCGCCCGTCCTGGCACTCTGGCTGATGCCCTGGTGTGGGCAGCTTCCAAGGTGGCATTGGGTGGCCGGGGCACAGGTATTCACATAACCCCTCCCCGTAGCCTGGCCGACCGAGAGGAAACAGCAGTAGCCATGGGGCCTCACTCCTGACATCTGGCTCGTTGATGGCTTGGCTGCCATCTTGGGTCCTCTCTCCCTCTCTCTGCTCGCTCCTCCGAAGGGAGGCCAGCCACCACATCCGGAGGCCGCCTGGAAGGACCCCGCGTGTCCAAGGACTGCGGTCGGGGCCCTCCTCACCTCCCCGTGGAGCCTTCCAGCGAGACCGCAGTCCCGCCCACAGCCGGCCGCTCACCTCGTGGGGGACGCCAGCCGTCGGCACCCGGGAGCCGCGCCCAGGTCCCCGACCCGTGGGAGCCGAGAGAGGAAAGGCTCGTCATTTTCAGCGGCTGAGTGTGGGGTTGCCTTGTTGCATAGCAAGGAATAACGAGTTCAGCGCCTTCCCTGCCGCGCGGAGCAGGCGCACCTGAGCTGTCGCCGGCTCGCTTCTTCGCCTTCGCGTTCTCCACACCTGTGCCGCCCGTTCCCATTCCGCAGGTGTTGTGGGTTGAGTGGTGCCCCCTAACTTCTCAAGTGGAAGTTCCAGCCCCTGGTGCCCACGGAGGTGACCTGATTTAGAGGTGAGGTCTTTGCAGAGGATAGAGTTTAGAGGAGGCCATTAGGGCGGCTCCGATCCCAGATGACCGAGTCCTTATAAAACAGGGAAACGTGGCCACAGATGCGCGCACAGGGACAATGCCACCTGAAGGCTGGGGCTACGCGCCTGCAAGCCTCGGGGCTACCAGCAGCCAGAGAGGAGCCTGGGATGGACCCTCCCCCGGTGACTTCAGAGGGACCAGAGCCCCGATCTTGAACTTCCAGTTGGAAGGAAGATCATAGATCTGGCCCCTCCACGATGAAACCGTTAGGGGCACCAACCGCCCTCCGAGGTGAAAGTCCAAACACATGTAGGTCAGCCCCTGGCCGGAGAGGGTGCTCCCTTCCGCCAGGGACAGAGGAAGGGGGGAGGGGAAGAGTGGAAATAGGAGTGGATGAGTGGGTGGGCAGAGTGGTGGGTGGATGGTGGGTGGGCGGACGGTGGGGGAGTGGGTGGATGGGTGATGCATGAGCAGACGGTGGATCAGGGACTCGGATGGGTGGCTGGGCGACAGAGGTCCCACCCGGGGATGTGAAAGGGCTGGGCTGCCAGGAGGAGGGACGTCAGGGCCCAGGTCCCCCCGGGAACGGTGGGGGCACAGAGGCGGAGGCCCCGGGCCGGCACGGCTGCCCCGCACACACGCGCTGCTCTCGCGCGAGCACGGTGCCATCCCTGCCATCTGCGGTGGCCTGTGTCCTTCAGGCTCCGGCTGACACCGGACCAGGTCCTCGGCAAGCAGGATCTGGCCGCCAGATGTCAGCCAGCGCTAATGAGCCCGGTCTGCTGGTCACTAATTGGCTGAGGGTCTGGGCGCCAGTGACAGATGGAACCAGGGACAACGGGACCGGGTGGCCCCCACCCAGCCCAGCCTTGGGTGGCCTAGACCCACTGACCCAGGGCAGTGGGAAGCAGGGGTGCCCCGCAGACCCGGGGCTGCACACTCCCAAGGGTAGGTGCCTGCCTGGCAGCTCCCCAAGGTCTCCCAGGGACGGTCCACCTCTGTCACGGGCTGGGGCCCCTCCAAGGGCACCGCGGGGGAGGGGCGCCGCGTGGGGGCCTGACTGCTGGGGTGGAACCAGGAGCCAGCCTCCCTGCGTAGGACGGAAACGAACGTCCCCCAGAATAACCGCGGCGGCGAGCCTGGCCCTGCGGAGGGAGAGGGAGTTGCAGCCAGTTCGCCCATAAACTTGCTCAAGCGATTTACGAGGCGTGGCCGGCCCGGGGTGGGGGCAGGGCCGCCGCGGACCGGCCGGCTGCTAGCTGGAGCCGGGCGAGGGGACACGGCCGTCCTTCTGTTAACCACCTCTGCGGCACAGGTGCGGCTGCGAAGGGCTTCTGTGGCGCTGAACATGGCATCCGCTCAAGGGGCGAGGACACCGTGCCCGCCCGTGGACCCCTGACCCCAGGGTCCTTCAGAGACGTACAGACCCAGTGGGCCGAGGGACGGAGGCATTTCTGCGGCGGATGTCCTGCAGGGCCGGCGGAGGTTCCCAGGCACCCGAGTGCCACGGCCTGGGATTTCCGCCCCGCGGGGCGCTGGAAACCAACGCAATGTCACGTAGGCTGTGGCTCATAAACCCACCCAGTTTTCTCAGCAGCCACGTGGTGTCTGTCCCGCCCCCGCCCCCCGCCCCCGGCCCCCGTGCCGCAGAGCATCCCGCTTCTTGGTGGTGGGGTCTCAGAGCCTTCCGCTGCTCTCCACGTGGGGACAGCCGTCAGCCGGGTGAGACACTTTGCGGGAGGGCGGAGCCTGCGCCGAGCCCAGGGCCAGCGAGGGAATGACAGCCGGCCGGGGCCCGGAGCGCAGGGCAGGGAAGGAGGGTGGGCTCCTCGTCATCCGTCCCGGCGGACGGAGAGGGCGAGGGTGGGGACAGCCCCCCAGGGCCGCTCTGCCGGGCTCCGGGAGAGGGCGGCGCGCCTCCGGGCTCAGCCAGGCGTGAGAACGGACGGGTCCTTGAAATACTCAGACGGCTCTGCTTGGGGCCAGTGCCCCGCTGGCCCACCCAGTTGTCATGGCTCGGTGCCCGAGGGTCTGAGGTCGTCGGGGGGTGGCGGAGGTCACGGGGAGACGGAGGACGGCCAAGTCCCAGGGTCGGGAGCAGGCGGATGCGCCCAGCCCTGACCCGGAGGCCAGCGGGGGCGCGCGCGCTTGTGCGGCCGCAGGCTGGAGGCGGCTGGCCCCCGGGACCCTGTTACTGTGTCTCAGGCATGGGGGTCCCGCGGCTCAGGCCTCTGGACACGGCGTGGGGCCGTCTCCCGGCCGTGCCACGGTTACGTCATCTCCCCCGCGGGCCTCTGTCAGGGTCCCAAGCCAGAGCGCGTGCACGAGATTCAGCCCCGCGTGTCGGCAGCAGCAGGAGAAAACTCGGGCCAGTCTGAGGCCTGAGTGCACGGCCCGTCCGCGGGCTCCGCCGGCTGGGCCCCCGAGGCGGCACCCCGCCCCCGCCCCCGCCCCCGCCCCCCAGTGGCCGCCAGGACCCTCGCCCCCTCGAGCGTTGGGCCCCAAATCTTAGAAGCCCCACAGGGGCAGCGAGGGTGGTGTGCGCTCTGCACACGCAGGGCCTGGGGTCACGTCACAGCACCAGCCTGCCATACGACTGAGTCGCCTTCTAGCGGCAGGTGTCCTCGGGAAAACCCCCGATGCTGCCGCGTCCCGCCCGGGCTCAGCCCCGGCAGGCGCACGTGAAGCCACACCTGTGTCACTCGTCCACAGCGCGCGGCTGGTGCTTGCTCGGCTGTGCTGGTGGGGTCGGGGGACACGCTGTGAGGGCCGCGGGCAGAAGGAGGCGAGGCGATCTCGAAGGGGTGTGACCCTGAGGCGTCCTCTGGGGAAGCTTTCTGGGTGGGGAAGGAGCTGGGCTGGAGGGTGGCTCGAGACGTGCCCCCCAAGGCCGCCCCCGCCTCTGTAGGCACCAGTGAGGCGGGTCCCCAGGTCTCACCCAGCCCAGTTGCTTCTCGAGCGGAAGACCAGGGTCTGAGCTGGAGTTGCTGACGCAGGTGCTGTGGAGGCTACAGCGGCCCCTCTGCCTGGCCCCGTGGGGACTCAGCTTCGATGGCCCGGGCATTTCTGACTCCGCACAGCGAGCTCGCTGCCTGTGAGACCCGCTCCTGTCGGGGCCACCTGCAGGCACCCTCACCTGCTACCACATTCCCAGCCCCACAGGCCGCTGGAGGTGCTCCGTGTCAGTGTTCCCAGGGCTGAAGAGCACAGGGAGGGGCACTGACCTCAGCCCAGAGCAGGGACTGGCATGCCTGCCACAGAGAGAGCCTGCAGGCCTGGGGCACTTGGCTTGGTGCCCACCCCGTGGGACGGAGAGCCAGGGCTCTTGGGGCACAGGACGGAGAAACTCCCGAGGGCTTCCTGGAGGAGTTTGCATTCAACAAGAATGTTCTACGTTCCCCATGCGATGGGGCTGTGGGCGCCGTGCCTCCCACCCAAACCCGTGCCTGGTGCTTGGTCACTCCTTAGCAAGGGACGTGTGTCTCTGCCCGCAGCTCAGTGGCCCAGGGACACCTGAGGTCCAGGCAGGTCCAGGCTGGGCTGCCTCCTCAGTTCTGAGGCGGCACCTCAGTCCCCGGGCAGGCGATAAGGGCGCCTGGGGACGTGGCCCGCCTCCACGGCCGGGTGTCTCATCAGGCAGCCAGGGAGTGCCGGGCCTCTGAGCCCCCAGCCCCCTGCCCGCTAAGGCCCTCTGATACCAGCTGAGGACAGCTGTTGCCGTGGCTGGATTGTTACATGTGTGACTGTCATCCCTGAAAAGGCCTCCGCAGCCGCGCCCCCAGGGAGAGAGGACCTGTGGGTGGACGGAGGCTCTCGGGGGCCCGCGGCTGCTCGCCTGCCTGGGAGGCGCCCAGGGAACCGTGGAATCCCGCGCCCTCAGAGCTTCCGGAGGGGCCTGCGGTGTCACAAAGTGCCCGCGAGGCTCTGCCCTCATTTGGCAACGCGCAGAGGAGGATGCAGACATGTTCGACCCGCACGTGTTAGACTCCCCGGCCGTCATTTTCGACAATGGGTCTGGGCTCTGCAAAGCCGGCCTGTCCGGAGAGATCGGGCCCCGCCATGTCGTCAGCTCCGTCGTGGGGCACCCGAAGTTCCTGGGGGCCTCGGCCGAAGCCGCCCAGAAGAAGTACTTCGTGGGGGAAGAAGCCTTGCACAAGAAGGAGACCCTACATGTGCACCGCCCCATCGAGCGCGGCCTGGTCACCAGTTGGGACGATGCGGAGCAGCTGTGGAAGCACCTCTTCGAGTGGGAGCTGGGGGTGAAGGCCAGAGACCAGCCAGTGCTAATGACCGAGCCGTCCCTGAACCCCAGGGAGGCCCGGGAGAAGATGGCCACGGTGATGTTCGAGAGCTTCCAGGTGCCCGCCTTCTACCTGTCGGACCAGGCCGTGCTGGCCCTCTACGCCTCGGCCTGTGTCACCGGCCTGGTGGTAGACAGCGGGGACGGTGTCACGTGCACCGTCCCCATCTTCGAGGGCTACTCCCTGCCCCACGCGGTCAGCAAGCTCTACATGGCGGGGCGGGACATCACGGAGCACCTCATGCGGCTGCTGCTGGCCAGCGGGCGGGCCTTCCCGTGTGCGCTGAGCAAGGCCCTGGTGGACGACGTCAAGGAGAAGCTGTGCTACGTGGCCCTGGAGCCAGACAAGGAGCTGTCGCGGAGGCCGGAGGAGGTCCTGAGGGAGTACAAGCTGCCGGACGGCAACGTCGTCCAGATCGGGGACCAGCTGTACCAGGCGCCCGAGGCCCTCTTCGCGCCCGAGCAGCTGGGCCTGCAGAGCCCGGGCCTCCCGCAGATGGTCTCCTGCAGCGTCGCCAAGTGCGACGCCGACATCCAGAACACGCTTTACGGGGAGATCGTGCTGTCCGGGGGCACCACGCTGTTCCCGGGGCTCGACGACCGGCTGCTGAAGGAGCTAGAGCGCCTTGCCTCCAAGGGGACCCCCATCAAGATCACGGCTCCCCCCGACAGGTGGTTCTCCACGTGGATCGGCGCTTCCATCGTCACCTCCCTGAGCAGCTTCAAGCAGATGTGGGTCACCTCCGCCGACTTCAAGGAGTTTGGGGCGTCCGTGGTTCAGAGAAGGTGCTTCTGAGGGGCCTCGCGCGTTGGGCGGCCCCGGGCGGTGAGCCCGCCCCTCGACATTGGCTAGGTGTTCAATAAAAGAGCTGCAGTCTTCAGCCACGTCCGGCTCGGTCCATTCTTTGCGGCCGCGGAACAACGTTTGGTCCTGGTGGTGAATCTTGAACGAGCGGCCTGTCCGCGACCCCTCGCCTGCCCCCGGGGGCGCCCTGGGCTGAGTCGGGCTGTGGCTGTCCGCAGGGTTGGGACCCAAAGCGGGCTCTTCTGGGCCTCATGCCCGAAGCTGGAGTCGGGAGGGCCCAGGAGTCTGCCTTTTAAACACGCGTCACATCGTAGGTGGGCCTGAGGCGGCCCGGAAAGGGGGCGGCAGGAAGCAGGAGGAGCCCCGCACCTGGGCGGGCGCTTGGCACGGCAGGGCTCCCGGCCCGCCTGTGCGGGGCTGGGCAGCTGAGCAGGAGGGACGCGTGTCCTGGGCGGAGGGGCCATGCGGAAGCAGAAGTCACCGACTGGTCAGGGCCCCCGCGGGGTCCCTCCCAGGACTGTGTGAGAGTCAACACCGCCGCTTTGTTTCTCGCGGCCTTTCTGTTTTTCTCTTCCAAGGTGCTCGTGGCCGTGTTTAGGGGCAAAACACTGGAGACGGGGTTAAGGGCCGTCACTGAAGTGCCGTCACTGAAGTTCAATAAATGGTGAGACAACCTACCTCATATCGGAACTGAGCGTGTGCTGTATTTGAAGACACCAAAGATGGGGGGGGTCATTTTAAAACCCAAGGTTACCAATCCCTGTCTTTTTACTTGGTGTATTTGGACAGTTTACGTTTGTTATTTTTTTAAAAGATTTTATTTATTTATTTTTAGAGAGGGGAAGAGAGGGAGAGAGAGAGAAACATCAGTGTGTTGTTGCATTGTGCACGCCCCCTGCTGGGGACCTGGCCCACACCCCAGGCCTGTGTCCTGACTGGGAATTGAGCCGGTGACCCTTTGGTTCTCAGGCCGGCGCTCAGTGCACTGAGTCACACCAGCCGGGGCGGGACAGTTTACGTTTAAAGTAATGTTTCTGTCTTAAGTCCGCCATTTTATTTTCTGTTCTTTCCCCCGCCCCGTTCCTTGTTCTTCTTTTCTTACCTTCCCATGGGTTACACAAACATTTTTTGGGACCCCATCTCGATTTACTTATGAGGTGTGTGTGATTTCTTAGTGATCGCGCTACGTAGCATTAGGATCCACCGGTACTTGCATTTCACCGCTTGGAGTGAAGTGGAGAAAACTGACCTCTATTTAAGTCCCTACCCTCCCAACTCTTGAGACAGGATTGTCTTCAGTATGCTCTCTGCCTTTGCCGAGCACCGCCTCGCACGGGGTTAGGATTTTTCCTTCCACCGTCAACTGATTTAAGAGACGCGTGCGAAGAACAGCCTCAGGCGGCCATCTCTGCAGTGGCCCAGTCCCCGGTCTTTGGTGCTTCCGGACGCTCCACGCCCTTCTTGGTGCTCTTACTCTGTCCCTCCTGTTTGGAGAACTTCCTTTAGCTGTGTTTTAGGAATAGGTTTGCTCGCAGCAGGCTTTCTTCTCCTGTCGTCTGAGAACGCCCTCATTTCCCCTTCCTCCCTGAGGGCGTTCGGCTGGGAATGGAGGTCAGGGCCAGCCGCTTGCCTTCAGCCCCGGGAGAGCGCTGTGCGCGGGCCCTGCTCCACGGCCCCCGGGATTCAGATCCGAAAGCACCTGCTCTTCAGCAGGAGCCGCCTGCTGGTCCTGCGTCGCTTCTTTCAGGAGTTTTTCGTTGTCTTCAGTTTTCAGATGCTTCATTACGACGTGTCCTGGCGTGGATGTTCCGGTTTGTCCTGTTTGGGATTTATCCAGCCCCTTGAATCTGTGGGTTTATGTCTTTTGCCAAACTCGGGACGTTTCGTGCGGCAACTGCCTCTCACGCTTTTCCAGCCCCGCCCCGTTCTCTCTCCTTCGGGGTCTCTGAGCACAGAGCTCGGCAACCCCGTTACTACCCCCCGGGCCCCGAGATTTGGTTCATCGATTTAAGCCCGTTTCCCTGACGGCCGGGTTGGGTCAGGTCCGCTCACCTGCCCTCAGATTCACGGGGCCCATTCCCTGTCCTCGCACGTCACCCCGAACCCTGCAGCCCATTTTCATTTCTGTTGTATTTTTTAGTTCGATAATTTCCGTTTGGTTGTCTTTTTATAACTTTTTTTTTTTTGCTGAGATGTTTCTTTTCTGCATGTGTTTCCAGGGAAATTATAATTGCTTGCTGAAATGTTTTTACAGCGGCTGCTTTAAATCCCTGGCCCAGGCAATTCCAACCTCTGAATCCTCTCGGTCGCCCCAAAACTCCTGTCAGCGAACTGCCTGCTCTCACTCTGTGTGCGGCATTTCTGGTCTCTCTCTCAGTTTACGACATTTGTCCCCCGGACACTGGGAGTATCTCGACACTCCTGTTCAGTCCAGCTTGGCAGTAGGCGTCCGCCTGTTGAGGGGCAGCACCGGGGCCGGCTGGACGGTTGTGTTCGGTTCTCTGATGGCCCCGCGGAAGCCCCCCGCCCCCAGAAACGCGGGCACTGATGCTCACAGCCTCACCGCGGGGGGCAGGGGGTGCTGGAGGCTCAGCTCCCTGCTTGGCCTCGCTGAACCTTCCTGGAGAAAATTGGTACCAACTCACACCTGTGCCTCAGTGCCCCCGAGTTGGCGGTGGGGCGGATGATCAGCTCCCCCAGGAAGCTGAGACCTGGGAAGGGGAGGGCTGACCCGCCTCCCCTCACCTCCTTCCATCCGACGAAAGCCGGGTGGGGCCAGAGGCTCAGGCCCCCACCCGGGACCCCCCAGACGCCGGGGGAGGGGAAAGAAGTGCCAACCAAACCTGGCTCTTGCCGCCTCTTCGGTCTCATGGCTGCTGGCGGGGCTGGGGACTAACTCCCCCCTGAACCCCACGACCACGGCTCCCACTGGGAGTCAGAGTGTCACCTGTTTCTGCTGAGTGGGGACGAAGCAGCTCCCCACTTGGTCCTGCGACACCACCCAGCAGGGGATCTGGAGACCCCGGAGGCGGGGAGTGGGGTGTGGACGCGGTGGGTCCGGGCGGGCGCTGTGCTAGGTCAGCCCCCCAATCTGCCTGCGGGGACCACAGTGGCGGCGTGGGGCTCCCGCTGCCTGGGGGGGGGGAGGGCCGTCCCCAAAGGCGCCGCGTCACGAGGCCCCACTGTTGCTGGCGGGAACGGCTTCCCTTGATGCCCTCCCAGCGGGTGCGGATGCGGGTGCGGGTGCGGGTGCGGGCTCCGAGCCGGGCACAGCCCCCGTGTGGGCGCGTGGGAGACAGTCGGAAGCCCCGGGCCTCCCCAGGTCCCAGGCCCCTTCAGCCCCTGTGTCCCGCCTTTCAGACACTTCCCCTGCGGCTTGCGGGGCTCCACTTGGGCTCGTGGAGGAAGACGGGGGACCTGAGAAGGGCGGGCTCCCGAGTCCCGTTCTCGTTCCTTTTCGCTGTTCCTGGGGCACAGAGGGGCTTAGAGAGGGCCGCTGGCGCCACGTCGGCGCCCTCCCTGTTGGGCTGCTGTGTCCCCGGCGAGAAGGTTGGCCCAGGAGCTGGGATCCCTGAAGCCATCCGGGGAGTGGGAGCGGGGCTTATGCCAGGCCCGGGCCAGGCCTCTGTCCCTCTGAACACGCCATCTACACCCCTCCCCGCGCGAGCCCCCCTCGTGTGCCCCGGCCGCACTCGGAGAATAGCTCACGGCTTAGTCCCCATCCTTCGCCCCTCTGGTGGCGGCCATCGCTCGACGGCCATGGCTGTGGTGGCGGTGGCGACGGTGGCGGTGATTTTCTGACCTGTCGGCCACTTTCAATGGCACGTCCTGGGGGTGCTGACGTGTGAAGAAGGAAAGGAGCTCCCAGGTCCCAGGAGAGTCCACGGCAGGGGCTTTGCATCCAGTCTGCCTTTAGCTCTGGCTCCTTTGTGACGCTACGTGCGGACACAGAGGCTCAGACACGCCGGGGGACAAGGGCAGAACGCCCTGCCTGGTCGCTCCCTCTCCCAGGACCGCGCCCGCTGCCACACGGGGCTTCATCCTCAAAGCGGTCCCCGACCCAGGGAGCTCGGTCCCCGCAGCCGGGTGTGGCTGGGATGACAGGGCTCGCTCCCTCGCTCACCCCGCAGGCACCCGGGAGAGGCCTGCGCGCCCCCGGCCCCTCGCCCGGGCTGTGGTCCGGAGGGGGCGCAAGGCGCTGTTCGGTCCACCGTGAGTCACCACAGCAGCCCCGGACGGGGAGGGCGGCGAGCAGACGGGGCGCACGTGGACTGAGCGGACAGCCCCGATGTCTGCAGCTCAGGGCCCTTGCGCTCTGGGGACAGAGCCGGGGACCGAGGACGCGCAGGGCGGGAGTTCCAAGCTGTGCGACCAGCCCAGGCTCTGCGCTGGGACGCCACCCCCAGAAAACGGGGGTGCCCGCTGTGCAGCCGCACGGACGGCGGTCTCCAGGCGTCCGTGGGCACCAGGGCCCCCTGCTTAGCGCCGCCCACCCTCAGTCCCACGTGGGGCACTCACCCCACGACCGTCCAGCACGGGGTGCTGTCGGGGAGGCGGGGCGCGCCGGCCCCCGGCCCCGTATGGAGGTGAGCCGGTCAGGGCCTGCCACACTGTCCTTCCCCCACGCAGAGCGGGGGACCCGCAGCCGGACAGCCCGCAGGCAGGTGGACAACTCCAGGCCCGGACCCACACCTGCAAGCCCCACCCCTTGCTTCGGCCCCTTCTGCCTTCCCCTCACGCCCTGGGCGACCTCACGGCCAGGGCGGGGCTCACAGGGTGGGTGGGGGCCTGACCCGGGGACGAGGGCCCCGTGCCCCCACGGAAGCTGGACAGACGTGCTTCAGCCGGAGCCTGTAGCCCTGACTTCCCCGGGAGCGGGGCTCACAGGTGCTTGGAGTCTAAACTCACGCTCTGGGAAATCAGCACAGGTACCGAGAGACCCGGGGCTGCTGGCGGCCCAGAGCCAACCATGGGGGTCCAGGGGCCGACCC